GATTTAAATTGTCCAAATTTACAGAATTTATATATATAAAAAATATAAATATAAATACTTGTAAATATCATGAAAATTCTATGATATGTGCTGAAAAAATGTAATAATATTAAGAAAATTTATTTCTTCATTAAATATCTAATAATAAATAAAAATAAATAAGTAATTATAAAACTTTATTTTATTTCTAATAAATTTTTTTTTGTTCTCATCATCAACATCATAAGTGATCTTTCCATTCATATGTGAAAGATAGAAAGATTTCGTATTATTTTTGAATTTGTTAGACATTCGGTGACTCTTTTGAATTTAAAAATTTGTCTTTCAATGAATATAAACGAGAAAAACAAGTATCTTAATCATTTTTCGAAACGATGTGTTATTAATATCTCCTGCTTTCTATATCAAAATATGAGTTTTCATAAAAAGTATGCTTAACAACTTTTCTCACTAAGTTAGCAATATATGAATGAATAATGCTGGATGAATAAAACATTTAAATATATACATACTTTTATAAGCATTTTTTATATGTTTATGTGGGATTCGTTATCGTCCACTTGGCGTTACTATACTTATTAGGCATACAATGATGATGAAATCAAGATCAAGGCTATTTATAATATTAGCATTTGATTTGAATCATATAATAAAATTTAAATAGGGTAATAAAAAGTAAATATATTCTTTGACAGCAACATTGAGTTTAAGATTATTTCCACATTTTAATTGAATCATATTATGAAGTATAAAATAGATTACTAAAATATATGTATATTTAAATATGTTCTTTATCAACAGTTTACCTCAATGCTTTTTATATAGTTATGAAATGTGTATAAATAACCTAATACTGTACACAAGAAATTATTACTTTGTTTAAAGCTACTAAAACACATAATGCCTGGAATCAATCGAATCCTCAATAGCGATCATCATGGAGAGTACAACTTCGACTTCGAATTGGAGATGTAGTGCTTTGAAGACATGAAAACCCCTTATATATGTATTGAAGATGAAGACGAGGGTCCCCGGTTACAGGTTTTGGGCATCCCAGTCAGAGCAGCCCATGCTTTTTTTTAACAAAAAATGGGACGAAGAGGATGACAATGGCAAATTTTTAACAGTGGTTGGCGGGGAAATTGAGGAGTACATAATGGAGCAACATCAAAACCAACATGAATATGAAAGAAGGGGTTTAGATATTAAGACTAAATTAAAGTATTGTAATAGAAAAAGTAGGGAAGCGATTTATGATATAGAAGTTTATTCTAAATCATATAATAATATTGTATTTGAATATAACTTAACTGTTGAATTAGTATTTAGAAATTTAAAATTTAATTATATAGAACCATAGATTTATTAAAAAACTTCAGCGTTTATTTGAATATAATATTATTTTATATAAGAGTTATTTATGAAAAAAGGTTTATTTATAAATTGTTAGTCGTTGGAAAAGGTTTTATAAATAATATAATTAATATGCTTCCTATTGAACTTCATTTGCCTCGTTATCAATTTTGTGGACCTGGAACGAAACTACGGAAACTTTTAGTAAGAGGAGATTGAGGGATTAATCTACTAGACACTGCTTGTAGAGAACATGATATATTATATTTATATAATAAAGATTTAGATAACGGACATATTGCTGATAAAAAATTAATTTAGAAGGTTTGGGAAAGAGTTAAAGCGAAGGATAGCAATCTTAATGAGAAAACGAATGCTTGGTTAGTTATAAATATAATGAAGACAAAAACGAAATCCGGAATGGGGTACGCTTATAGTAAAAACTAAAAAAGTGGGAGGAAAAACTGGTTATCAGCTCTTCAATCATGCCTTAAAAAGTGCTACACAAAATTTAAAGAAAAGTGATAACTTAAAAGATGTCATAAAAATTTCACGAAAGGTTGTAAATAATATTTTCAGAGTAAAAAAATCTATAACAAAAACACCATGTGTAATATCATTACCTAAATCTGGAGGATTTCCGCATTAGCGCCTTTAATCGTAGCATTAGGAGCACTTGGAAGTCTATCTGGCGGTACAGCAGGAATTATTAAAACAATCAATGCTATAAAGACTGGAAAGGAGCAGTTATTGGAGGCAAAACGTCATAATAATACAATGGAAGCTATTTCAAAGGGAAAAGACATATTCTTAAAGCCTTATAAAAAGGGATTCGGATTATATTTAAAACCATATCAAAAAACTCTTAATGAAGCTACCTAGAAGACCTCTTACTGATGTACACTTGAAGAAGTATTCAAAATTTATTCCAAATTTTAGAGGGGTATTCATGTGTGACACTTTACCATGTAAACCATTTAAGAGAGAATGTGGAATAATAAATTTGGATAGATCAAATACTGGGAAACGATAATGAGATTGATTATTTCGATAGCTTTGGAAAAACTTATAGCCTCCTGAACATTTAATAAAGTATTTAGGAAAAACATTAAATATAACTATAATAAACAGCAAAGCTATAATTCATATAACTGCGGACATTTATGTTTAAAACTCTTATTATCAAAATAAGTAAGTAATTATAAAACTCTCTTTTATTTCAAATTAAATTTTATTTGTTCACATCATCAACATCATCAGACCTTTCCATTCATATATATACTGGAAAAACGATAATGAGATTGATTACTTCGATGGCTTTGGAAACTTACAGCCTCCTAAGCAAATAATAAAGTATTTAGGAAAATACATTAAATATAACTATAATAAAACCCAAAGCAATAATTCATATAATTGCGGACATTTATGTTTAAAATTCTTATTATCAAAATAAATAAGTAATTATAAAACTTTCTTTTATTTCAAATTAAATTTTATTTGTTCTCATCAACATCAACAGACCTTTCCATTCATACACACATACATACTAAATACTTAGCAATTAACTATGTGAACATTATTAACACACTTTTCTAGGGGTGGAGCATCTATATATGTATATACATATGTATGTATGTACGTTTGCATATAGATGTATGTATGAGAATACGTATGTATATATGTATACCAATACATTTTACCAATTTTCGACATATAAACCACCTTGTATCGGATTTCTTGGATTTCCATCAGCAATACACATATAAATACTTGTAAATATCATAAAAATTCTATGATATGTGCTGAAAAAAATGTAATAATATTAAGAAACTTTATTTCTTCATTAAATATCTAATAAATAAAAATAATAAGTAATTATAACACTTTATTTTATTTCAAATTAAATTTTGTTTGTTTTCAACATCAACAGACTTTTCCATTCATATATATGTATATATATACATATTTATTAAATATTTGATAATTAACTATGTGTGCATTATTTACACACTTTTCTAGCGGTGGAGCATCTATATATGTATATACATATGTCCGTATGTACGTTTGTATCACGATCCAGAAAATAAAGGTCGCGCCATTCGCGGACCGCTAACCCTCTCATCGTCGATTTGACAGCATCCACCCAATCGCTGACGTCATAAAATACTTTTGTTTACATTCACTGTTGCCAACTTAATGCTTTTCGCACCAAATTTAGTGGGTATTCAAAACGCGAACATTTTTGAGTTTGGTGCTTGGTGCGTTTTTGGTGCTTTTGGTTTTAGTTTGAAGACACCAAATTATAAAATCTTAAAAAAATGGAAGCAAAATTTATAGCAATCATAAGCGTGGTAAGCAACTTCACAAAAATTTAAATAAAAATCATGGCACAATCATAAGCGACAACAAAATATGTGGCAGCACCTTCAATCAAGCCAGAAGTAATCGACCGTCGTGCAAGAAACATTGATTTTTATTAATTTGAATCGGCATCCTTACAATATAATTATGTATGCATATAAAGTCCATAAAATACACCAATAAATATTTGGTGCTTTTTCAAATTCAAAACTTGGCAATACTGCCTTTTGTTCGATGCTTCCTCTTTTTCTTGTCGAGTTCGTCTTGCTCTCTCATTCTGGTATTTATTGACGTCACGGCCAGTTACTCTCAGCTCGATTGGCGCAATCTTGTATTCTATCATTCTTGCGTTTGTATATATTTCTGACTGCATATCAACACACTTTACTAATTTTCGACATATAAACCACCATCTATCGTATATCTCGGATTTCCATCAGCGGTACACCCTGTGATCGGTTCCGGCTGTCACCAGCGACATCTTGCGGCTCTTATCTGGGTTCTGAACTTGGATTACGGTCGGGGACATCTTTTGGCGGAGCAGCAAAGCTTGCGGCGGAGCACCAGCAAACCTTATAGCGGTTCTGGACCGGAGCAACAGCAAACCATATAGCGAATGCCCTTGCCATCATTAATAGCGTCCAGAATTCTTCCCGTCAAACCAGCACATTTCAGATGGTAAATACCGTCACACAGCCAGCACGATAAGTAGTGTTCAGAATCGCTTTTAATTTGGCAAGTATCAAGATCGCACTTCATATTGAAAGATTTATGTAATACACTCGTTAATAGAAGACAAACAAAATAAATAATAACAATTAAGGAGCTGATGTAAATAGCTTTAAATAAATGTAGCGAACAGTTTGAGTATCACTGCAGTTATGACACTTAATAAACGCAACGCAAACAGCTGTGCCAAGAATTACTAGAAGAAGTAAACAAAAAGAGTAGAACAAATGTGCAAAAACAAAATGAATTCAGTTAACTACAAAGGATACAACAACAATGATAGCAACAAATGATTGGCAAAATTAGAATGTATGCTAGTGAAATTTAATTAAATTTACTTTAATATAAATCCAATAACTTTCACTTAGCTTCAATTATTTCACATTCTGATGCTCATAAGCACTTTTTATCACTACTTTAACACAGAATTAGCACAATGAACTTAGCAAGTAGAAAGCCAAAATCAGAGCACAATAAAGTACAACCTCACAGCTTGACGTTTGTAATGCAATTGATCAAGCAAGAAGTCTAATCCAATAATGACTTCATCCCAAGAATGATAGAATACAAAGATTGCGCCGATAGGGGTGCAAAAATTTTTCGTTCTGCGCATCTACGTCATAATATAAAAGTTGTTGTTGGCGATCTGTCAAATCGCATACAATTTCGACGAAAAAAAGTAAATATAGCATAAAATTTAGTTGAAAGTCTAAAATAAAACAATCTGGTGGCAATTTATTGAATCGAGAAGACGGTAAATTTATTTTGTGTTTCTTTTACATTATTTATATTATTATTTTATTTCAGGTAGTGGGTAGGGCGTTCAAATAAAAATTGCATTCTGTGGCCGCCGTTGCGCTGGCAAACGGAACGAGTAAGATTTCCAAATGAAATTGAAGCCACAGCAAATAGTGCAAAACTCCAAGGCTTGGAAACAAATATAGAAGCTATACGATGCCAGAAAGACTACAGAGAATCGAAGAGCGCTAACCAGGAAACAGCGTAAAAGGGCCAATTCGTTGAGCAAGGGCGTGCTCATAGCATGGTAAGTAGCATCTGCGACAATACATTACTTTTTACTAACTTCCAATGCGTACTTATTTCAGGAAATACAATGCCAACATAAATTAAACTGCCAAGGCATAAGCAAGAATTTTTACCTGAAACTGTGACGCCTGCCCACAGCATCAAATAAGGATATCGTTCCAATGAAACCCAATATTAACGACGTATTTTGACGACGATGAACTCTTTGCGAACGCTCCGGGTTTTCATCACCCGGCTTGTAAATTGATGGCACGGAGCCTCGTTTCAACAATCTTCTTTTTGCATAACCTTAGAAATGTTTTAAACTCTTTCATTAATATAAACACAATAAACGAAATAAATAAACGTCCTACCCATTTCGAACTGCAGACTATTTTCAAAATCTTCACTTGCAAAGTGATGCATGCAAATATAGCAAGTTTTAAATTGGAAATCCTTGCTTTGCCGGCAGAACTGGATCCACTTTTTCCTAAGTTCTGGATCTGAAGGAAAAGTAAACAAACTGCACTCTGCCGCCGTTTTTCCACATTTCGCAACTGCGCACTTCATTTTACAACGTTTTTATTTTATAACTTTAACAAAAATATCACAAATCAATACGTTTTCCTCGCAAACCAATACGTTTCCCTCGCAAACCAATACGCTTCCCACCAAAAATATTATATTATGACGTCAACACTCGAACAGCTGATTTGTAAACGAGAGTAACGGACCTGCGCAAAGCGCAATCTCTTTATTCTATCATTCTTGACTTCATCCATAATCGCCGCGACTATGAACTTGTGTAACACCGTCACATTCCCTATTGCGACTTTGCATGTTACCTCTCCTACAACTTGGGCGTCCTCACCAGTTGATGTCCTCAACCCTGCTCCAGGTAATGGCCTTACCTCTTTAGTGCCCAAATCAGATCGAATGATAGAATGTGATGCGCCCGTATCCACAGTTAGTACTCGCTCATGTCCGTCCACATATCCACCAACAGTAACGTTCCTCGCTTTTCTGCCAATTCGCGAGTCGGAGATTATGGGGCATTCAATTGCGGGAGCCAGCGCGCGCCCCTTGCTGCTGGCCCGTTTTAGTTTAACGACTGATTGGAGTTGGATTCGTCTCCTTCAGCCCTGCGTTTGCGTCCTGCTGAATTGTTGAGCGCACTGGAACTTGCGCTTCAATCGCGGGCGAAGTGGCCTGGCTTTCCACATTTAAAACATTTGCCAGAGCCATGCTTTTTCTAGCTCAGCAGTTGGATAATCTTCTTCAGCATTTCATTTGTCTCGTCCGGTGTTTCCACTTCCACGCGATTTGCTTTGTAGGCTGGTCTACTTAGGAGCGCCGCCGTTTCACGCGTCTGAGCATACGAGACAGTTTCAGCAAATGTTGGCTTTGGATTCGCGTACGTCTCCCGCTTGGTATACACGTCCCGCATTCCGTTGATGAACCTCTGGATTTTTAATCTTTCGAGGTGCTCACCAGATGCATCTCCAATTTCCAAATGAGCCAACCTTTCAACCTCGGAGGCGAATTCCTGTAGAGTCTCGTTGGACTTCTGGCAGCGATTCTCCAGCTCCATCTGGTAAATCTGTCTCCTGTGCTCGCTACCATAACGTATTTTCACTGCACCCATTAATGCATCGTAATTGTTCCTTTCACAGTCAGGAATTGTCTGCAAGATTTCCGCTGCAGGTCCTTTTAATGCCACGAACAGAGCAGCGGATTTATCCTCCATGCTCCAACGATTTGCTGTAGCTGTCTTCTCGAACTGGAGCTTAAAGACTTGGAAAGGAATCGTGCCGTCAAAGGATGGAGTCTTTACCTTGGGAGCACTTGCCGAAGTAGCTGGACGATTCATCTGCAAATCTCGGAGGCGACCTTCCAACTTTCTACCTTTGCTTCGACTTTCTCCTGTCTCTCTTCAAGTTTGTCCTGTATTTGTGTAATTTGTGTGCCTGTAGCTGAGTTTCTAACCGGGATGACACCTGCGATGACACCAGCGCTGATACCTGTGAAGATATACCTGTCTCCAGCGCTTGCATCTGTGACGACAGCTGTGATGACATCTGTGACATGCGTGTATCCTGTGCTTCCATTATCTGTGACATGGCAGCCAATAGCGTGTTCATGTCCATAGCTGTTGA